CGCTTTCACTGCCAGCGATCAAGTCAATTCTTACTCATAGCGACCCTCAGTAGGGTTACTGAGGCTGTTAACCTCTGCAGGAGCACACAGACTAATCTTCCTCCCAGAGTGCCTGGTGGATTTGAACTGCTGACCTTCCAGTAAGTCCGACACACCACCCACTATGCCACCAGAGCTTCTTTAAAGTGAGCTACACCTAAGGGAAATCAGTACATCATGCAAACAATGGTTTTAAAGTTGGGTACAAATATAATTGCAGAAACGCAAAAAGTAATACTTCACATTCTCTAAGAAAACACGTATGTATAATGAAGATGTAAAAACATAACCCAAAAGTGTACTTCAAATAATAGTTGCATCTTACTGGGTGAGAAGGAAAATGAGATTCTGACATAGTGTGTTTATACACACATATTTTTAAAGATCCGAAAAACGAAAGCCACCTAGGTCAGTCAGTCAGTCTACTGGTGAAAATCAGCTGTCACGATTTTAAAAATAAGACAGGGTATCAGGAAGAACGTAAACTGTACAATAACTAGATAGAGATTTTTAAAAGTCAAAGGAGGTATTGCTTACAGGTGGAAGAGATTGTGCCATACTTGGAATCTACAGGTGAGGCGGTGGGGACATGGGTTGGGAATAGAGGTGAGAGCAAGAATAACTAGAATTCTGGATGGAGTTCTGCTCACCAAAGGTAAGAGAATGTATGCTGTATGGAAAGAGGGGGAGTTTCCATCCCTTCCACATGGGGGCATGACTGAAATAAGGAACTCATGCAACTACTGAGAAACTGGGTATGAGAGACCAGAAAAGCAAAGTTTGAGATCGTGCCAACTGGAGGCGTGGGCAGAGGTGGAAGGGACAACCTTGGGTGAAGTACCTTGGGGAAAGAAGAGACACTTTACCTGAGTGCTGTGAGGACAGAAAGTTGTCAACCAGTGAAAAGACTACGAAAAACGCAATGCGGGCTCAGCTGAGGCTTGAAGTTCTAAACGGAACCTCTACAGATTGAAATGGAAATGTTTTTAGTAGGTCTTGGTGCAGTTCTTTTATTGGATGAGCAACTCTCTCTCCTGGAATGAGGAATAGTAAACTCCTGGACAAAATGCGATGAGAACTCTGAGAATTCAAAGTATCAGTCAGAAAAATGGGGCTGAGATTCAGAGTAATGGACACTGAGAAAGTGGTATACTTGTGCACACTTAACAAAAAGAACTCAACAGTTTTTAGTGCTTTCATTGATCAACTCACTCGACTGAAAGAATGAAGATGGTCGATAGCTGATCATTAAAAATAATTAAGCTGAACTGACAGCTCCTAAAATCCCATCCATGTTGTAACCAGGCAGTGGCTCCAGGGACTAAGAATTCTCTCAAGAACCAATTTCAGTTGAGGACCCTTGTACTTATTGATGATTTTTAAAAAGCTATTATTTACCTAGTTGTTTTACATACAAGTGTATGTCTTTCTGATTAAATTCCTAAATAAAGATCTATCTAAATTACAGTCTGTCTGGTTAATTTGTATTATCCTTCTCAAGATTCCTGAACTGAAAAAGTAAGTGGCATATGGGAAATAATAAACAAAAGGAAAAGAGAAATTAGCTGATATACTGGTCCAATGTGTTAAACCCAACTCTATCCTACTGCAAATGAATACAATTAGATTCAATGTGGGCAATTCTAAATTTTTCTTGATTGAATTTTATCAGAACCACAACTCTCTTCCAAACCTGAACTCGATTTTAAAACAATTTTTTAATGTGATTTTGTTAAAATTACATTGTGAGAGTTAAAGCACCACTCTCATAATTTCTTCCTAACAAAAAAACCATAGTCCCAAAAGGAAAATTATCAAAATAATATTGGTGACAATAACATTAGCAGTTATTTTATTTTATGTTATAAATGAACTTCTCTCAGCATTTTTTACATATTATTGCATCTTATCTTCATACCAACCCTGTGGAGTAGTTACTACTATCATTTCCATATTTATATATGATAAAAAACGAGGTAAGGAAGTAGATCAAAAGATGATTACATTTATCTGGTGAAATTATTAAAATCATAGACTTAGAAGCAACCAGCATTCAAACATAGCAAGGAAAATGACTACTCATCTCTTACTCATAAAGTGAACATCTGAAAGTCTTTGATATTCTGACCACATTGTGTGCGTTCAACTAGGTTCAAGAGTGAGCAAGAAGGAACAAGTCAGTTCCCCATCAGGCAAGGACACCGGGTCCAAAAAGAGGGGTCACAGCATTCAGTTATCACAGATTGACATACAGCACAATGAGACTATTCTTTTTCAAAACTGCACTCAACAAACTGGTAAGAGCAGAGATCACCGATTCAATCATAAACATGGAAGAATGCTAAGGATCTAATAATAAAGTTCATCTACAGTTGGTCTCTGAGAATTTTTCATGGTACATAACAATGATCTCTTAAAAATCTCTAGACTTTTGGGGGCTTAGTAACACCATCACCTAACTCCAACAAGTTAAAAAGGAGCAACAGCTCCAGCAGACCCAAGCGACATTATGTATATAAACGTCAGCATCACCCTATGAAAACGCCTGAAAATACTGATGCCCCAGCTGGCAAATCCCAGGGCCTGGGCTCTGGTGCTGGCAGGGGGAGCAGCGGAACGGGAGCAGCGCTCGCATCCTCTTACAGGTTCAGTGCTTTTGTGTGTAAAACTGAGATGATGCTAGTATCTACCTGGAAAGATAGCGAGGAGGACTGCATCTACTACTTTACATAAAACAAGACATTAGCGTATAAAGGACACAGGAAACACTCATTAAATGTTTCCTTTTTCACCTCATCATCATCTGTCAATACTACGAGCATCACATTTCACACAAAATAATGGAACAGTGTTGCTTACTGCCACTAGACTGCTTCAATAAATGTCAATAATATTCAGAGATTTCCACCTTGATCATCTGTCAGGAGCCTTGGTGGCGTAATGGTTACTTACACCTTAGTAATCACAAAGTCCACAGTTTGAATCCACCAGCTGCTCTGCAGGAGAAAGACGAGGCTCTCTACTCCCAGAAATAGTTACAGGCCCAGAAAGTCACGGGGCAGTTCTACCTCGCCTTACTGGATCACGGCGAGTCGGTATCAGTGGCAATGAGTTTGGTTTGGGGTTTTTATATCATTTTAAATTGAACCCTGGCTTCTCATCATTAAGCTTAAGTACTTTAACACCTTTGACTATCTGAAATGTCTCCTAATTCGACTCCCAGCCCATCCTTCATCCAATCCACCTCTATACTTCATTAATATTTTATTGAGTAGGTGGGGGGGGGGGGGGGGGGGGGGGGCTAAAGGTGTCATTTCTATGCTTGGGGATAAAAAAATAAACATTACCACAAAAGTATCAACACGGTTGATGCTACTGTTGTGGTTATGTTGTTTTTAAAGACTTTGATCTAACGCCATACACCAAATCGTTATAAACGAACTGATAATAATGGCTGAAATTCATTTCAAAGTTATCCATTTGAAATTGGGAGTGAGCAAATGAAGAGACAAAACAGTACTGGCCGTGACTTGACAATTTTGGATGAAGAGTAAGAGGATCCATTCTAATATTCTCTCTAATTTGCATATGTTTACAATTTTCTGCAATAAAATGTTATTTACCTGAAGGGGAAAAAACCCTTTCCAGTTGCCTAAAGGAGCAAGGCAAATTTTTAGCAACATATTCACAAGCAGTTATTTATCACTGTAGCCTGCCTCTTCTCTTGACTTATCATCACGATCCACACAATGTCCCAGTATTAAACATATCAGGCCAGACTCGTTCATCTGAGTCTCTGTACAACCTATTCCTTTGCTAAGAAAATCTTAGCAGAGCTTCAACCTGGTTCAGTCATAGCCAAGAAAATGAAACAAGAGGATGCAGATTTGTAAATGTGGGTGGTTTCCTGAAACCACAGCAGGAACAGGAACTATTATAAGCTGACTTTACTTGAAATCAATCTCCCTGGAAAACACGGGCAGAATCTGCATTGCACAGCAACCATTTCTCTTCACTAGAAGACTTAGAAACATGTCTGGCTCAAAGATGGTGGCCACCTGTGTGAGCTGCATGCATGTGACTCATCATAGTTCTCTCCTCACCCAGACTCCTGAGAGGAGTCCCTACATCTTTTCCAACTCCTTCGTCTCAGGCCTTCAACCCCCAATTGTTTGCCATTCTGGTTATTATCCCAATAAACTCACATTTACAAAGTTCGGTCTGTTGCCAATTTTACTGCATTAGCCATGACTCAACCAGTTCAAACTGGTTCTAAGCCCCAGTTCTATTTCCAGTAGAACTTTTGAGACCCAATTAAAGGGTCGTTTCCTTATGTTTCTTTAATCCTTAGTTCATAGCTTTATTTCCAGGGATAGTATTTTTTTTAAGATTTGGGGGTACTTTTTTCCTTGTATATCTACCTCCCCACCAAAAATCACACACCCTCTAGAGGCAGAATCTGTGATTGATTATTTTATTAAGTATTCCCTAGGATATGAAAAGTAGTGCTTAGAACGTAAACAGAATAGTAATAGTCACCCATGTCGAACATTAATAAAATAATGTCTAACGAACTATAAATTATATATCCCTAATATACCAAACTTTATTTACTAGATATTTATCATACTCCTTAGAAATCAATTCATTTTTAAAGAAATACATTGTTCATCCTGAGGTGAACACCAATATTATTTTTAAAAGAAATTATGGACAAAGAGATATGAGTAGTTAACAGTTCAAACAAACAAAATTGCCAAGCTACAAGTGAAGCTTAGATGTGGATCCAGAAGGGAACTTATCAGTAAAGGATGGTAAACTTTTACTTTATTACAGAAAACAGTTGAAATGTTTAACATTCGTAATGCAAAATTAAGTTCAGCCAGACTCAGCAAACTATTAAGATCCCTTAGGAAATTATTTCACTTTACACCTTGTACAAAGAGAAAGGAAACACTCACTAGTATAAAACTTCATTTGCTTCGTGTCTTTCATATCTCACAGTTTCACACATTAATCTGTAAAGAAATAAAGACATGAGTTCAACAACTAGAATTAAAAATACATTCTTATTAGTTAAAATGTGAAATAAGATGAGTAACCTAGAATGTTAAGATTAAGTCATTTGCCTTGTCATATCATTTATTGATTATTATCTTTGGAGCCTGCATTAGCTACATCAAGTTGAAAAAGAGATGCTAGTAAAGAAAATATTTAGATGTCACCTTTACCATATTTATTTTATGGGAAGTAAAAGTTGTATGTATTTTTCATGTGGAAAACAACAGTTGGATAAATTAAGTTGAACAGAATGAGAAGGAACGTCAAAGTTAGAAAAGAAAACCTATTGATTTTGAAAGTGATGACATTATTCTCCATCTTCTATTAATGGAACTGAACAGTATGGAATTTCAGACAAAAGTAGGCTTTTAATAACTCAGTCTTTTTTATGACTTGTGACTAAATGGAGAATTTATAAGCTTCAGGATTTGTTATTTCAGCTCCCTGAGGAAAATTTTATGAAATTAGGAAAAGCATGTATAAATGTTTAAACACACAAAATTATCTCAAGAATAGTGTCTTCACTAAGTGTCCTATTTAAACCCAAATAAAATTTACCAACAGAAGTACAAAACAAAGAATATTAACAATATCTTGTGAAGGAACTCATAAACAAAGAACATTAGCTGTGAAAAAACACTTGAACAAAGCCTCAATTTCAGTCGATGAGGTTACTGTTCTTCAATGTGACACACATGCCATCAACTCAGAGCTACTCTTCGCTCTGTTTGGTCAATCCAATGAGACCATGTTCTCTTGATATTTCACTTAAAATAATCTCTTCCCACTATCACCAACCTACTTTAGACTCTTACTCTCTCAATCCCTAGCACAAAACTGGGAATAATTCCAACTGAATGTTAACTCCACAAGGGACCACTAGATCAAAAATACACAACACTATACACATGCTGTGTTCTTTTTAAGAGACTGAATGAAATCGATCCTTCATAGGAAGACACTACAGCCACAGTGATGGGTCTAAAAATAAACCACAACCAGCCGCCATAAAGATGGTTCTGACTCGTGGTGACCCCGCAAGTGTTAGATAGAGGAGAACTGGGGCTGCGTTTTCAGAGGCTGACTACGAGACCTGTCTTTCTTTTGGGGGGCTGTGACTACTACAGGTAGTATTCACGTAAAGCTCTCTATTGTCTTTTTGTTAAGATAGCATGAACACTTTAAAATAGTTAGCAGGGATCTTCTCTGCAATGTAACACTATGTTTTTTTTCTCTTTATATATATATTTATATATACTTATCAATCATTTTATTGGGAGCTCTTACAGATATAGCAATCCATAATTCAATTAGATCAGGCATAATTGTACAATTGCTGTCACCATCAGTTTCAAAACATTTTCTTTCTTCCTGACCTCTTTGTTATCCCCGTTATCCCTCCTTCCCCAGCCCTACCCCCCAAAATTATTATTATATTATATATCTGTTTTATATTTTGCCGTATCTTACACCATCCAATATACACATTCACTTATAATTCCGTTATTTGTTCCCCTCTAAGTGGGATTATGCAGTCATCATTGCTACTGGTTCCTTTTCCGCCTTCCCATACCCTCAGGGAATCATTTCTCCCATTACTATTTCTGAAGGGTTTATCTATCTTGGATTTCATGCATCTAAAGATCTTAATTATACAAATGAACATACTCAGGTCTAACAAAATCAATGAGTTAAAACTAAGATCATCCTAGTAAGGGGAGGAAATATTAAAAGAACTAGAGGATAGTTATGTGTTTCATCAGTGACCAAACCCAATGATGCATACGTCATCCAAAAAAAAAAGAAAAGAAAAAAGATGCAAACAGTACCTGGGCTGAAATACTCCCTCTTCCCCTCTCCCCCAAGTATGCCCTTATGGCCCACAGAGGGGTGGGGGAAGAAAAAAGACTGCAATGGGGGAGCAGGGCACTAATCCACCCAAGGGGCAGGTATTGCTTGTCTGCAAAGGAAAGGGAGAAAGAGAGTCGACCTCATTCCAGTGCACCAAGGCTTGAGGGCAACATTCCTGTTCTGAGAAGCTCCTTCACATAGAGGGCTGCAAGGCTGGCGTCAGCTAGAGACATTATATCCCCTGCCTACAGGACAGCACTGAAGATACAGTTCAGGGAGGAGGAGTGGGCCTGGTCTGACCGACCTACATGGGAGCAAACCAAGAGGGGCATGCAACAGACCAGCAATGGGAGCAAAGCCACAAGTCCTTAAGGGATCTTTTTGTAGACTTCTGACTCCTGGGCAGGTTTTGGTACCTCATCTGAACTGGTTGGGGGATATTCACAAGGGGGCCACACTTTAAGTCTAAAGAGGCCTTTCTTTCAAGTTACCTTTGAACTAACTCAAAAATCCAGCCTTTAGGTAAGGAGCCAACCATGTTAACCCTTTGTATCGCTTGGAAAATTAAGTATCATATTCTATTTCCTTTACTTCTCACCTGGTTCTGGTGCTCTTTGACATTAGTCCCTCCATTCCTTTGAGCCTGAACCCTTCACCTGAATCATGACCGATATCTCTTTCTCTTTGGGACCAACGTATGAACACATTTTAGTGTCACCAACCTGTGGGAAGGGTTATCTCTTTTAATCTCACACCATCCTCCAGCTATTATCCACATTTTGCTTTTCCACAACTGAAAACCTCCTTTACATTTCCATTCTCACATCCCCTTGAGCTTCCCTCTTCTCTGGAGCTCTGAATCTCTAAGCTAAAGCTCAACAACTATCTAGCCTACCCGTTCTAATCTTAATGCCACATCTCAGCATTTGATTATTCCCTTTTCTTTATAGCAATATCATCTTTAGTCCCTTTAGTCTCCTGGCTTTCCTTTTAACTGTCTTTTTGCTTTGTTTTTCTGTCTCATTTTCCATCTCCGCACCCTCCCCCTCTGCCTGACTCTTACACAGGTTCTAGTGGTCCTCCCTAGCCCTTCTCTCCTCTGGACTCACACAGCATCATCAAGTCTGTGGATTTTCAGCTCGTCTACAAATGAATGACTTCAAAACTGAACCAGTTTGGATCTCTCATGATATCCATTAGCCAAACAAATGCTCAACATAGCCACTTACGTGTCTAATAGCCATCTCACATTTAAATGCCAAAATTAGAACTCAAGAGATTTCTCCCCCAAATCTGTTCTCAAGTCTGTATCCGATTGTTTAAAAAAATCCCTGATGGCATCCTTGCCTCCTCTTTTCTTCACAGTCTAACTCTCTGCAGGTACCTGTCCACAAAAATCTATACTCTAAAACTAGCTAAACGTACCATCTCCACTGCTAAAATCTACTCTGAGCCCCTCATTATCCCACTGTCAGCTCTCACAATGACCACAATGGATTACTGGGCTTTCTACCCCTATCATCCATTCACCACAAAACTACCAGTTATAGCCTCAAAAAGCATATCAAATCATCTGGCATAGCAGGTTATGAGATGGTCTGCGAACCACAAAGTCAGAAGTTCGAAACCACCAGTCTCAGGAGAAAGATGAAGCTTTCCACTCCAGTAAAGAGTTAGTCTCAGAAACCCAAAGGAGCAGTTCTACTCTGTCCGGTAGAGTTGCTATGCATCAGAAATCCACTCAGCAGTAATGAGCTTCGGTTTATCATATTTTAGCATGTAGCAAAATTACTGTCATCTTTAAACACTGTTAAGGAAGGCAAATAGTTCTTCCCTAAAATCCTTAAATAAAGCATACTAACAATAATGTAGTTATTTCTTAATGTTCTAAAAGCACCTATATCATACTAATTGTGGGTACTATAGACTAACATACAAGGGGGCACCCCCCCAAAAAAAAAACAGAGAAGGCTTCGCTGGGCAGAGCTTTCGTAGTAGTATGCATTTTTCCTGCTAGGC